AGCCAAGAAGAAAGTACAGTTGCCTGTCGTGAAGATACACATGACACTTTAAAGTGGAGAAGTTAGTTACCGTGCCTCTTCCAGAGCTTAAACTGGTTTTGTTTTTCCCTTTGTTAATTGTAATGAATTAAGGATGTGTGACAGAATAAATGTAACTAAAAATGAAATTATAGAATACCTATTTTACTTCTTTGTAATTGATGAACTTACAAGGCAGAGTACTCCTGAAAAGAGAAATCTTCTTTAAAAAGTCTTGCCAATAACTAGCTAAAAATATTTTAAGTAAATATTTTGCCTCAAAGATTTTTACACATTTTTACTTGTGACTAAAAAAGATGATCATGGCTAAAAGTTCCACTAATTTTCTGACATGTCATTGTCTGGAAAATAGTAAAACATGATATGACAATGTTTTGTAACAGCCAAGAATGAAAGCCAAAAGTCTGCTGAAATTGTGGACTTCTCTCACAGTGACAGAGACAGTCCTAAGAATAACAAACACTTTTTGCGTGTCTTACCCAGATGTAGAAAAATGCGTGTATTTTTGAAGCTAGTGCCATCAAAGCTGCCCTTTTGTTCAGGAGTTCTTCGGAAATGCTGTGGGGATGTTTTCTTCCTATGCAAGCAAGAAACAAATCACACAAGAAACAAATCACACAAATCACACATTGTGAATAACAATGGAGTTTGAAACCCTGAAAATATTAAGTATAAGTAGCAGATGTTGGCGACTCAGCTGTAGGTCCCACTGAAATCATTGCATTTTGAGCGTCTGTGGCTCAGGTGACTGATGTGGTGTCGAGCTTTGGTGTGCGCTGGGCATCGGTAAAGGAAACTTCTGAGAGCCAGATCCGGTCCCTTCTTTGTGCTCCTGTATGACTGTGGCAGCGAGTACATGTGGCCCAATCCCTTGCCTGTTTATAGTTTCAGATCTGTTAGTAGTTAAACAGTGTGCACAAACTAAATTACTTTGACACTAATAATGTTTATAATGCTTGTTTTTAAATTCTCCCTTGAAAAAAAAGAAAGAAAAGGAAAATGACCATTGCATTCTTGCTAAATTTCCTAAACTTGTTCCTGGCGTCCTATTGCTAGTGCCTCCCTAACAGGATTTACCTTGAAATAACAATATGAAGCCGTATTTTATGGGTGTGATAACTTCTGCTTTTAGAGAATAGCAGTCAGTTCAGAATGTTACTGTAGTTAAAAGATGGTTAAATACATTTTAACCTGACATGATATTGCCTTTAAATGATGCAGGACTAAAGGTTTAGCAGTTGTGTGGTACAATTGCAAATTGCATTCAGAGCTCTCCTGCATAGATTTTCTTATTATGGGAAGCACTTAAATAAATACATAAATAATGCCAGATTAGCACATGGGCACTGTAATATGTGCCTGTAATCACTATAATGAGAAGAGTCATGGAAACAAGTTACAAAACGCGTTTCTCTTCACAATGCATCCCAAGTCAACATTTGGGCTCTCACATGTTTTGCTCCCTCTGAAGAGCTCTGTCCCCAGTCAAACATACTCATTTGGCTTATTTCCTGCCAGTCAATTCAGTTGAAGTACTTGTTGAATAACCTTAGAGCATACAAACAAAATTTTAATCCTGTATCTCAAATGGTTTCTTTTTGTATTCAAGACAATCTTAAGAAACTCACAATTCTCTGTAACTTTTTTAGAGTGCTGATCACATTCAGATTTTGATCACACAATTATAGTTGAGCATGTGAGAAAAATGCTTGAGGTGATCATGTTATTAGTGTGTTATATAAAACCCAGTAGAAATTATAAGTGCTGATTCTGATTTATTTGCTCAAAATAAGAAATTCTGAATTGTATCAAAGAATTTTTGTCACTAATTATAGTTCCTAAGCTACCTTTTAGTCAAGTCAATTTATTGTGAAGCTGTGGTGATAAACCAATTGTTAACCAGTTGTCAGTTTCCTTAGGTTCATTAGCACAGTGAACTTTCACAGATCCAAATGGTCAGAATGCCAGCTTTACAATTTCCTCCAGTTTGAAGGAATGTAAGTAGAAGATTGTTTTACTTTGACAAGAATATCTTCATTATGTTGAGGTAATTATCACTTAAAAGTTGCACTAAACAAAATCATTTACTTGGTAGAATTTAAATATAAATATAAAAGAATTTAAATAGTCTTTACATTTGATAAAGGATTGTAATTTAGCACTGTAACAATGAGGAAAAAATGAAATTACCAAAGGGAAGACTCCCTAACTTCTATTCATTTGATAAACTCTAAAAATGCTTAGCATATAAAAAGCTAGTGGGAATGTAAAAATGCATATCTTTAAGGTAAATAGAGATTTGTTTGGGTCAAGATCTTTGCAAAAAGTACATCTTTGCATAAAATAAAAGTGTTTCTTTATCACATACTATAGTTTGTTATAAAGAAAATCTGGGAAATGTTCATTTGTAAAAATACAGAGTTTATAATTAATGAAATTAATTCAAGATTGATTTAAATGACCCAGGCTTTAAATGATCCAGAATTGACATAATTCTTTTTTTCTCAGTGAATTGTCATAATAGGTAATTTATATAGTCTTCTTTAATACGATACATTTTAATTCTGTAAAATTATAAATATATACCATGTGAATGTGTTTGTACATCATGTAAGTTACATATTTCATCTTATCTACGGAGTTACATGTGAAAAATATGTCAAGCAATTAGCACTTTTAATTTTGTTATGATTTTCATTTTTAAAAGGTTTATATTATAGCTTTAAAATACTGGAAAATAACTTGAAGTCAGTCACTTGTTTAGTTAATCATTTGATTGCTTAATACAGATGAACTTGTTTTAATGTCTAGTTAGATTACTTTTTTAATGTGTAGGTCTAAAGAACATTCCACAGTTAAGAAATTTTAAACAGAAATTCTTGGATCTTTGTGAAAAATTTTAAGATACTAGAATTTTAAATAAACCTTATTTTTGTGATCAATCACTAAGAAATTATTTACCTGAATATTTTAGGTTCTTATTTGATCTTTGCCCTGTTCCATAACCTTAGCAGGTTTACAATTAGATCTTGCGTGCACTGGAAAAGTGGAGTGCTCATGTCCCTATCTGCAGCATAAATCGGCTGTGCCTTTGCTTGCAGCTACCCTCAACCTCATTACAGATACCTATTACATTCCTTCCTCTGCGTCGTAATGAGACTGCTTGCTGCAGACTGATCTTCGTGCTGAATTCAGTTTAAAAGTCTAGCAGCCTTTATGGGCTGCAAGCTCTAACTTCTTTTCCCCTTCAAATGGCTTAGCCAGTTAAGAAAATGCTAATTGAATGCTGCTAATAATTTTTTAAAGGCATGTATAAATTACCTGGAAATAATGGCCTCATGGAGAGCAGCAGACTAGCCTCAAAAATATTTTTATTCCTTTTCAAGGAGAGAAGGCAATGTACTTTTACTGACTGTTTTTTAAAAATCAGTTTTCTCTACTGAACTCAGTACTTGAATTATTTCTCCAAAATCCTAAAAGAAAATAATTGAGACTTTTTAGCAAATCTGTGTGCGGATGATAGAACAGTTATTTTTTCCTGGGGACGCAGACTTTGAGGATGTTTTGTTCTCACATTCAGCTATGCATGTTTAACAAAGAACCGACTCGCAGCTGTCTTTCCGCTCCGTTCAAACTGATTTGTTGCTGTCACTCCATCTGTAAGCTGACAAAAAGCAGCTATGAGTCCTGATACCCAGGCTGGCAGAGAGAACCCAGCGGTGCCTGGGCAGGACTGTACAACCCAGCCACCCAAAAGGTAGCAGCCAGAGTGTGATCATATGTCGATGTCTCATTCCTACACAGCTCTTTATTTGATCAGGTGTGAATTAGAGTTGTTCATTAAACACGGTTGTTATTCGGCACAAGAGGGTAAGGGGAGACAGAGGAAGTGGCTGCCTACAACAGTAATTAAACATGTGTAACCAATTAGAGGGTTTTCCACTATGGCACAAGCATATAATTTGCTAAGTCTTTCTATGAGAATAGATGAAAATAGGTACAAAAAGTGTGTGTGACTACAACATTCTCATGTTAAACATGTCAACATAAATGAACTTTAAATATATAATTTCTAGTTTGTTAACAAACCGCTGAACTCTATTGGTTAATCACAATAACATGTAATTTTAGTTCATTTTGCCAAGAAATATTGCATCTGACAGAGCCAATTAATTGTATTAAACATGATTCATTTTAGGCTAGCCGATATTGACAGTTACTGACAAATCTAAAATGCAGAAATGGCCCCTTCTATAAGGGAAGTCCAGGACAAAAAAGACACAAGAGATTGGTTGCTCAAATTCTTGGGAGAGATTGTTTTTCTCAGCAGAAATGTAAGAAGTGCTTATATTTTCTTTGTTACATTTACAAATGAAAATACTTAGCTGAAATTTCCTACATGAAAGAAATGCCTATTGATTCCAAAGGTTCCATAGAATTACTTTAGGTCCATACAGCCTCGGCCCTGCATAAAGACAAATCTTGGCAGCAGTGTAGACCACACCGGAGCAGGCAGCTCTCCTCAGGTGCTGATGCTCTGGGAAGGTTGTGGATTAGTTTAGCCATGTTAAGTGAACTGGCAGAGGCATCTGTAATTTCACTGGAAATGAGGAAGCCCGATGGTAAAGGGGAGCCCTAATGAGTCCATCGAAGCTGGCTTTGTACCCAACAGACAGGGTGGCTGCGGATTGTATGAAAATATTGGAAATCAATGGCTTCTATGGAATTTCATTAAGAAGCAGTATCCACAATTGATAGAGCCTCATAATTTGATGGATTGTGCTAAGAAAATGATTAGCTAGCTAGAAAGAGTCATAGAACACACACGCCGGGACGTCAGAAATGTTGAAGTGGGGTAATTTGTACAAAATAAAAAATATTGATTTTACTTATGGGCAAAATTTTGAAACGGAGGGCGGCTGTCTGGCAGGCCGGGCTGATGTCGTCCCTTGGTTTCCTAGGCGTCCCCGGGGAAGGTGCAGAGGACGCGGACAGCGGGAACGAGAGCCGCAGCGGCGGCGAGGAGACCAGCGTGTGCGAGAAATGCTGCGCCGAGTTCTTCAAGTGGGCCGATTTCCTGCAGCACAAGGAGAGCTGCACCAAGAACCCGCTGGTGCTCATCGTGGGCGAGGATGAGCCTGCGCCGCCCGCTGACCAGTTTCCTGACGCCTCGCCGGCCAGCTCGCCCAGCGATCGTGCTGAGGCCGAGAGCGAGGCCACGGAGGACACCGCTCCGAAGGAGGGCGAGGCGGGCGAAGCGCAGGCACCTGCCCGCGAGCTGGAGCCCATGGACGTGGAGGTGCCCGGGGACAAGGGCAGCGCTGGCCCGGGCGTCCCCGCTCCAACGCCCCCTGCGCTGGCCCCGGTCCCGGAGCCCACCGCGTCAGTCTTTGGGATGCCCAGCACCAACGTGACTCTCGAGACGCTGCTCAGCACCAAGGTGGCTGTGGCACAGTTCTCGCAGGGTGCACGCGCGGCAGGTGGTGCGGTAGGCTCTGGCGTGGGTGCTGTGGCCATTCCCATGATCCTGGAGCAGCTGGTGGCCCTGCAGCAACAGCAGATCCACCAGCTGCAGCTCATTGAGCAGATACGCAGCCAGGTCGCCCTCATGAGCCGCCAGCCTGCGCGGCCACCCCTGAACCCAGCGGCGGCAGCGCCAGCACCTGGCACGCCTGGCCCAGCTTCCCTGGCTGCGCACCCCTCACTGCAGCTCTCGGCCACACACGCCCCGAGCCCTGCAGGCCCCGCCGCCCCACCGGCCACCTTCGAGGGCTCCCAGCCCCTTGCACAACCTGCATCCGGAGCAAGCCCCCAAGGAGGCCCCAGCCCAGCAGAGTGCGCAGCCCCCCTAGCTTCCGGCACTGGACCCACTGCATCTGGCGGCACTGCACAGCCGCAGAACACGCCCACGCCCCCTGCCCTGGGCTCTGGGCCCCTGCTCAGCTCAACCCCCACCCTGCCAAGCCCTCTGCTACCTCAGACTTCTTGCAGCAGTGTCATTTTTCCCAACCCCTTGGTCAGCATTGCTGCCACGGCCAATGCGCTGGACCCACTGTCAGCCCTCATGAAGCACCGAAAGGGCAAGCCACCCAACGTGTCTGTATTCGAGCCGAAGGCCAGCGCCGAGGACCCCTTCTTTAAGCACAAGTGCAGGTTCTGTGCCAAGGTCTTTGGCAGCGACAGCGCGCTGCAGATCCACCTGCGCTCACACACTGGCGAGCGGCCCTTCAAGTGCAACATCTGTGGGAACCGCTTCTCCACCAAAGGTAACCTGAAGGTGCACTTCCAGAGGCACAAGGAGAAGTATCCCCACATCCAGATGAACCCCTACCCAGTCCCAGAGTACCTCGACAATGTGCCCACCTGCTCGGGAATTCCCTATGGCATGTCACTGCCCCCCGAAAAGCCAGTAACCACCTGGCTGGACAGCAAGCCAGTACTGCCAACAGTGCCCACCTCTGTGGGACTGCAGCTACCCCCAACCACTCTCAGTGCTCACAGTTACACTGACTCCCCTAGTGTCACCCCCATCAGTCGCTCCCCACAGAGGCCCTCTCCTGCGTCCAGTGAATGCACCTCCCTGTCCCCAGGCCTCAATCATGCTGACACCAGCATCCCAGTGACCTCCGAGTCCCCGCAGCCACTCCTCAGTGGGTCTTCTCTGACTAAAACTGAGCCTATCAGTCTACCTTGCACAAGTGCAAGGACGGGGGACATTCCTGTTGGTGGACAGGTTAGTTCTGTGCCCACATCTGCAGCCACTGTGGTCACCGACAGCACTTCCACAGGCCTTGGCAGCCCCAGTCTTCCAGCAGCTTCTGACCAGTTCAAGGCCCAGTTTCCCTTTGGTGGCCTGCTCGACTCTATGCAAACGTCAGAAACCTCAAAACTACAGCAGTTGGTAGAGAACATTGATAAGAAGATGACGGATCCAAATCAGTGTGTCATCTGCCACCGGGTGCTGAGCTGCCAGAGCGCCCTGAAGATGCATTACAGGACACACACAGGGGAAAGGCCCTTCAAATGCAAGATCTGTGGCCGGGCCTTCACCACCAAAGGCAACCTGAAGACACACTTTGGGGTCCACCGTGCCAAACCGCCCCTTCGGGTGCAGCACTCATGCCCCATCTGTCAGAAGAAGTTCACAAATGCCGTGGTGCTGCAGCAGCACATCCGCATGCACATGGGCGGGCAGATCCCCAACACGCCGCTGCCAGAGGGCTTCCAGGATGCCATGGATGCAGACCTGCCCTTTGATGAGAAGAATATGGAAACCCTGAGCAGCTATGATGATGACATCGATGAGAACTCGATGGAGGAGGATGCAGAACTGAAGGACACAGCCAGTGACTCCTCCAAACCACTCCTTACCTACTCGGGGTCCTCCCCACCCTCACCTCCCTCGGTCATCTCCAGCATTGCTGCCCTAGAGAATCAGATGAAAATGATTGATTCAGTCATGAACTGTCAACAGCTGACCAGCTTGAAGTCTGTGGAAAACGGATCTGGGGAAAGTGATCACCTGAGCAATGATTCCTCATCTGCAGTGGGTGACCTGGAGAGCCGCAGTGCAGGCAGTCCTGCCCTGTCGGAGTCCTCATCCTCCCAGGCACTGTCACCCACCAACAGCAATGGAGAGAGCTTCCGCTCTAAATCCCCAGGCCCCGGCCACCAGGAAGATCCCCAGGAGATCCCACTAAAGACAGAAAGGCCGGACAGTCCGCCTCCGGGTCCAGGAAATGGAGGTGCCCTGGACCTGACAGCCAGCCACCCCAGCCGGCCCATCATCAAGGAAGAGGCCCCCTTCAGCCTGCTGTTCCTGAACAGAGAGCGGGGTAAGTGTATGAGCACTGTGTGTGGTGTCTGTGGCAAGCCCTTTGCTTGCAAGAGCGCGTTGGAAATCCACCACCGCAGCCATACCAAGGAACGGCCATTTGTGTGCTCGGTCTGCAGGCGGGGGTGTTCCACTATGGGTAATTTAAAACAGCACTTACTGACACACAAATTGAAAGAGCTGCCTTCTCAGGTATTTGACCCCAACTTTACTCTAGGTCCCAGCCACAGCACTCCTAGCCTGATCTCCAGCCCTGCGCCCACCATGATCAAAATGGAGGTGAACGGCCACAGCAAGGCCATCGCCCTGAGCGAGGGGCCACCACTGCCGGCTGGGGTCCAGGTCCCCACAGGGCCCCAGACAGTGATGACCCCAGGCCTGGCACCCATGCTGGCACCCCCGCCACGCCGGACACCCAAGCAGCACAATTGCCAGTCCTGTGGGAAGACCTTTTCCTCGGCCAGTGCCCTGCAGATCCATGAGCGCACCCACACTGGGGAGAAGCCCTTCGGCTGCACCATCTGTGGGAGGGCCTTCACCACCAAGGGCAACCTCAAGGTAAGGGGGCCCTGGGCTCGAGGTGGTGGTCACACCATTAGGGTACCTGTGAACGTTCCCTGTTCTACCAGACTTGGGCCGAATGGCAGAAATCTGCTTGCTTATGCTTTGGCGCAGAGCATAAGATGCTGTGGGTATCTGTGTGTGGGTGTGTGTGAAGTGAGTGCTATGCATGGGTATATGTAGTGTGGGTGGGGTGGAGTGTGCATGTGTATCCCCGTGTAGTGTGCACATATGTGTTCATATGCAAATAATCCCAAAGCATGCATCCGTGCAGTGGTGGGAAGAATGGGAGACTAGGCCTCCTTTCCGGGGATGTGTCCACTTGTGCCTCTGACCCTGGCCTGCTGTGACACACAGGATGGTACACATTGCAACTTGGTGAGCAAGCCCAGGGCAGGAAACTCTTGAATCTGACCCCAAAATAAATTTACCCTTTAAACACTGATTTATAATACAAATAAGACAGAGATGAGGCTTGCTCAGCAATTCCTAGAAAGAGAAGGCCCATGGAAGGGTTGCCAGGTAAGAAACTCCCCAGTGTGGGAGGACCAGAGAGAAGACAGATGTCCCTGTTATGTCCCTGCTGAAGACTACAGGAGGGGCAGCGTTGTGTCCTCCTCAACAGCAGAAGGACTGTTGACAAGGTGCTGCTGAGTTCTTTAGGTGTGTGTCCACATGACCTCAGCTACATATGCTGGCTCCATGTTTTGCAAAGCATGTCCATAGAGACCACCTGTGGCAGGGCACAACCTCTAGAGACCATCAAAACCCAATACCGGTAGCTTCTGTCCTGGACATACGTTGGAAGGATAAGTGCTGTTGCAGATGGCCCCAATATGTGTTAAAATTAATGCTTCCTTGTATGAAAGAAAGGAAAGAGGAAGGCACCAGTCAATAAAGAGTTCAAGTAGAAAATGGTTCATTGCAATACTAGAAATTCCCTGTGGCCTGTTGGGTTTATCAGGTGTGTTAACTGAAAGAACCCACTCATTTGCTTTTTATACTCACAGAATGAAATACTACATGTATAAGATGCTCAGAAAAACTTCCCTGTGTTTTTACGATGCCCAAACTAACGCTCAAGCTGGGGATAGCATTGTGGAACAGCAGAAACAGGACATGTTCACCACATAGTTGTGGACTGTCTTACTGTGGCTTGTCTGTCCATCTTACACAGGTACACATGGGAACTCACATGTGGAATAATGCCCCTGCAAGGCGTGGTCGCCGCCTATCCGTGGAAAACCCCATGGCTCTGCTAGGTGGTGACGCCCTGAAGTTCTCTGAAATGTTTCAGAAGGACCTCGCAGCTCGAGCCATGAATGTTGATCCCAGCTTTTGGAACCAGTATGCAGCAGCCATCACTAACGGGCTCGCCATGAAGAACAATGAGATCTCCGTCATTCAGAATGGAGGTATCCCCCAGCTCCCTGTAAGTCTAGGCGGAGGTGCCATTCCTCCTCTGGGTAGTGTGACCGGTGGGATGGACAAAGCGCGCACCGGCAGCAGCCCACCAATTGTCAGTTTGGACAAAGTGAGCTCAGAGACGGGAGCCAGCCGTCCATTCACAAGATTTGTTGAGGATAACAAGGAGATTGGTATAAACTAGTCGGACTCATTGGGACTCACTTTATCCATTGTGTCCACGTCCACATTTTGCAGTTTGAGCATCAGGCTTTGGACCCTCATGCCTAGATTCTCATTAAAATTTTACGTATGGCACAAAATACTTTAACCATGTGGCTGCCTAAAGGTTGTCTGTGAGCACTGCATGGTACTTCACTCAACGGTGGGTTTGACTGTTCTTAACTCTGCAACCTTTTAAATAAATTCCACTTAAAAAGAAAAAGTGCTTGGAAAACTGCCTTAGAACAGAAAAAGCTCAGAGCATTTCCACTTCCTTTGTCCTAAAACCTAATAACCCTTGCAGGGGAGAAAGGAGTCCCCTGTGGAATTCCAGTGAGCCTCACTCAATGGTTTCATTTGAATTAGTTAGAAACTTGAACTATATTTTAGGAACTCTTCATCTTAAAGAAGTGGTTCAGTTCTCCCAATGCTGTGTATTATGACAGTATCTTTGTCCGTAGTATTTATAATGTTAAGATTATGCGGGTAACAGACAATAAAATAGCCCCAACCTTAAATGAAGCTTTTGTACTGCAGATACATCTGGTTATGTGATTTTTTTTTTTTAAAAGCAAGATTTGTTTTACCATAAATAAGTGGATTATTTCAATGCAGGCAAAATTGTGACGTTCTATTCGGAAAGATAGCATGCTTTTTGTGTGCAAGTACCTATCAGTAACAAGCCTTTTATTTTATTTTTTTTTAACTTAAATGTTTGTAGCTGCTATGTGGACAGTTGTTCTTTAGTGCGGTCTGTAGCCCAGTGATTGATTGGGGAACAAGTTACAGACAAACATCACCGTAAATTATTCACATTATAAACAGTTTGAGTAAATATTTCACATTATCAAAGGTGTACAATAAAAAGATAATGTTTGTATAATGTGGTTGCAAACTCTTAATTTATATGATTGCACTTTTAGTATTTTGTATTAGGGAGGTCTGTCTATAATTTGAAAATTTAAAATGATGTAAAGTATTTTATAAATAGTACTTCAGTTTAAGAAAAATGGAAAAAAACAACCCTATTATAGTTTCTTGTTTTGTCTTAAGGTCAAATAATATGAGAAATCTGTGCTGCTTGAACAGAAAAGCCACCGACACTTGTCAGCGCCTCAACAAAATAAGGCCTGCCATTTCTTAAATTAACATGATTTATTTAACTTTTCTACAAAGCCCGTTTAAAAACTGTGACCACCCTAATGAAACTTCGACAAATTAATCTTAGGACTGTGACATCAGTACAAGTCCAGAAATAACTGAGAGACATTGTGCAGGTGTGGTTTGTACTGTAAGCACTCCTGTCTCTTACACACACAAACAAGACTGTGACTTCCTGGTAGCACTGGCTACTGCATATGGTAAATGAGAGAAGTAGCAAGTGTCTAGCAGAATAACCAGTCATAACTTTGAATCTTCCTGAGTCCCTGGTTTATTTATTATCATCTCAAATGAAAACAAAGCAGTGTCCTCTGATTATTCAAAATACCATTTTGTGCTCATGACTTTATCTAAATTGCATCAAGTGAGCAAAGACTGGGAGGTGGGGCTACATTAAAACTTGAACGTCAGTGTTGTGTGTACTACCTCATTTTTGTGCATTGCAAGTGTTCTGGGACCTGGCACGGTGAACTTCCAACAACAAAATTGTTCAAGAGATATTCTGAGTAGCTGGGTAACAGTGTAAGGAGCTGTCAGCCCCTGAAGAATGAATCAGACAGTGAATCTTCTCAGTTGAAACAGAAAAATAGAACAACCTAACACGAGTCCAGCAACAGCAAAAGGCGCTGGAGGAGGACGGGCTTCTCTGCGGGCTGTTGTTGAACAGAGTTTCCAGGCTCATTAGCTGTTTGATTCCGTTTGAAATGAACACTGAACTCTACCACTCTGTCGTCCACGTGGTGAGATGAGATGTGACTCTCCTGTGTCATGCCGTCTCTCCTGGCGGACCAGTGACCAGGGTGTCAGCATTGGGAAGAGGAAACCGAGGTGGCTTAATGTTGCTGTTTCAGCAGTTGAATGTTTTGTTATTTATCTGTGCTCTTTTGGTGTGTTCTGTTTCCTTTTGTTTGGTTAGTGTTTGGTACTATGTTAGTATCCTCTCTTCTCCCAGAAGGATGTGTATATAATTTAAGAGAAATGTAAAGTGTTATAAATAAGGTGGCTCATGAAGGGACAAGTGAGATGACCCCAGTCTGTGCTCAGGGCTGGCTCATCCCTGCGTGGTGAAGAGAAACACTATTTTTTTAATTACAGTGCCATGTAGGTTGAGGACCTCCTTGAGCCAGCTGGGAATTGTTACCTAGATCCAATATTTTTTATGATTAAAACTTGTGGCTTGACACATCTACTGATTGAAATGGATGTCTTAGTCTAGGTTACTATTTTTGTCATATGGAACTGAATAAAATGCAGGATGTGATATTATTTCTGAATTGCGTTCCTTAATTCTTCTAGTGGAAAAGTAGGATTTGAGGTGGTCATTTATGGTGGATGTATGTCCGTGGTATTGCTACAAGGAAAATCAGTGAGGGTTGACAGCTTAGATCTAAGCAGTATCTAAGAGTATTTTGATTGGTCTCGAACTTGTAGTTTTTTTTTCCAAAATAAAAATTTCTTCTAATTTTGGATTTTTTTTTTTTTTTACATCTCCCATGCAAAAAGATGTAGTAGAAAGTACCTATTAAAGACTCAGCAGTGCCCAAAGATGACTGGACTCAATTGCCTTCCCATCCCTGGCATTAAATGAAAATAATGGTTTTTGAGGTGACTTGAACAAATAAATGCGCGTCAAGGTTGCAGACAGGGATGTGAGCAGAAATGTGCTCCCAGTGCCACCAACACTGCAAACAGCTGCGTGACTTTCCTGATGTCAGCCCTCTGTCTGTTCTCAAATGGAAAACCTCCTTTATTTTTAAATAAGTTTTATCTCACAGATAACAACCGATAAGACTCATAACTTTAAATAAATTAATTGCTCCTGAATTTTATGATATATAATGCATTTCTTTTTCTAAGAAAAAATTTTAATAAATAATTACTGATACAGAGAAGCCACAGTAATCTTTATCTGAGAAGGATTGGGCAATTTTTTTTTTTCAGGGATAATACAGGATTAACAATGAAGTGAGCCAGCTAGCTAAGCCAGGCCAACCTTCAGCAGATTTCAGGTGCCTTAGAAATTAAACCATTTAATTTCTGTGCCAGAATAGAAATTACCAGGTATAACCTGACTAAATCAAACATTGAATTCAATTTTTTAAGGAGGAAATAGTTACACTTCTATAACCAGTTAAAATAATTAACATAAATTAAAATTCAGGAGAAAGGGGATTTCTTTCTTGAATTTCAGAATTGTTTTCAAATATAAAATCAAAGGTGTTGGGTTTTTAGTAAGCCTGAGTATCTGTTTCTCATACCAACTTTAGTTACTTAAACTTGTATCAAAGAATCTGAAGTGACAATAATCCCTAAAAATTATCCAAATACATTTCTATTCTGAGTTCATTACAGGAATGGTTAACATTTAAAACTAATTAAAAAGCAGTGCTACGGGGCTAAGTAGCAGTTGTTTTCAAACTCCACTGTTTAATCTGATCTCCGCAGAAGCTTGAAGGCATGTGGGCTCCCCACCTGCTTTTCCTTAGGTTTGGCAGCCCTTGCCTGGTTCCCACTTAGAGTTTTGCAAAGCCACAGCAAACCTCAGGAGCATTTCTTTATTGCCAGGCTGCGTGTGCATTTCCAGCCCAGCCTACGCCAGAGCACCACATGTATCTTGGCTGTTTGTGTAATGCCGTCAAATCCAAAGCCCTCAGTTCTTTCCTGGCGCATGCTGGAGGCTGTGACGAGTTCACAGGCGGGATTCTTTGTCCAGCCTCTCCCACTGCATGCCGATCTGCAGCCCATGTTTTAGACCTCGGTGTTAAATCTGTGCTCATTTACTAAATATTGGTACTGAGCTAGGGATCAAGCACATGTTTATTCCTCTGCAAAGTTTCCTACAACTCAGTGCTTCGTGGAAGAAGGGAAAGAATGAAACATTTATGTTCATGGGTCTGTGTACTGATTTTTGGCAGTGTTAGAATTTAAAAAATGCCTGTTAAAAACTCAGCAGTGCCCAAAGATGACTGGACTCGGTTGCCTTCCTATCACTGGCATTAATAGTGCCATGTGAATAATGGTTTTTAAGATCCCTTGAACAAATACTTGACTTAAAAAAAATGAAGTATTAATTCTCAGCACTCTTTATAAATGGGGAACTTTGAAATGAAGTCACAGTGGGACTTTCCCAGCGTTTGGTACCGAGCTGGCAGACTTGAGTATGAACTGTGTGTCACTCACATTGGGACCCTCTATGTGCGGTGGACTCCTGGCAGGACAGGAGAGCACAGCATATTCTGGGTCAAAGGCTGTGACCCTGCCCTTCTTCAGTTTGCTTCCTTATCTCTAAGAAGCAGCTAGAACTGATGTTAGCTGAAGCCTTTCCACTAAAAAAATCACTTTAAAAAAAAACTACACTAATATACACCTTTCTTTTTTCCCCTTAAATTCACTAGACATATTCATTGACAGTATTTAAACAGAGAGAGATATAAATGATTCTTTTAGAGTATTATTCCATAATATGAAACTGCTACAAAAATTCTTTTCTAAAGCAACTCTTTGGAATCGTTTTAGATCATGAAAAATGTGTTTGGATTCTTTTTTTTTTTTTTAATTAAACAGTAATTTTTTAAAATGCAGTTATATTTAAGGTAAAATAAAATCAAGCTCTGTAAACATGCTTACTGCCTTTTCTATTAGAAAAGAGACTTTGATGAACAGTTTGATTTTTTTTTTTTTCTGTGTATTGCACCCGGTGCCTCATAAGGTTGATGCATTTATCAGAGAGTAGACAACTGAAGGCTGAAAGCCGTGGTCTTACTAATCTCTGTTTTACTACACGATTAGAGAACCTAAACCATTATCATTGCTAGTACTGTTCTGAGTTATAACTCTTGTCTGCCTCCTTCATTCTAATTTCTTCAAAAGTATCACTGCTTGCAATTTAGCTAGGCTGCTGCAAGCGGAGCCTCGGGACTGGCTTCACATCACTAGGCACCGGCATGACCCAGCAGGAAAACCAGGTATTGGTGAGAAGGGAAGAAGAGATGTAAGCGGTGTCAGTGTGCTTGGTTCTGTTGTATTCATCAGAATGAAAAACAGCTGATGAGTCAGCCCATGGAAAGAGAGACCCAAGAACCTGTCCGTGTTGGTATGAATCACTCACTGTATGATTCAAATGTGGAAATAAATGTTTGGTTGCAGTAGTTCCAAATGTGATTATTTGTGAGGATGGGATTTCTGTACGCCACACCACGTGTGCATGTGTGCACACACACACATTTTAAGATTCTAGAATGATCTACAGCTAGAGTACTTACAGAAAATATGAGTCATTTCCTTCATTTTCCACCCGTGATATCGAAGGACTCTCTAATTCCATTTATTTGTATTTTTTCTAGCTTAACTTGAATGACATCTGAATTTTAATAGGAAGGGGATAAAAATATCTAAAAGACAAAAGTCATCACATTTTTTAAGAGCTGGCAGATCTTTTGATTACATGTAAGATACAAAACTTTTATTTTTCCTACTCATCGTATCAAGGTTAATTTAAAAATAGCTCTCATTATGACCTTAACTTACCAAGAACTGTGTTGCACCCTCCTTAATAACACTGCTGCTGAAGAAAGACAGGCCCAAAAAATTCTACTTCAGATGGAAATTTTTATTAATGTAAAGACACTTAACAAACTTCCATTCATATTCCAATAATTTAAAGATTAATTTTAAACATGTCTGTCCTCTACCTGTCTTGTTTGCTTTTTCTTCTGATTCTTAGTAATAGAGTCATTTTTCTGCCACAAAATGCAGCAGCCAACTCTGCTGAGTTGTTTCCTTCATCAGTATTTAATGACGCATGTATGTTAGGTCTGGAATCTTCATGAGGAGAGTTTTATAGCCAAACATTTAACTTTGGGACTTAAAAAAATGCACTCTTAATTCTGAACAATTCCTTTACTTATCTTTATAGCACTTGATGACTAATAAATTGAACCACTCTCGAATTTCACCCAATAAATTACTGCATCTTTACTAACAAAGAGCTGCATAAACTTCATAGGTTTCAGTTAGGTGATATAGGCAATTTGAAGAAATAAACTATAGATAAATATTTATAAATACATTTTCCTCACAAAATTCAAAACATTTTCCTAACAATCTCAGTACATTTTGTTGGGCATGAAAACAAAGTTTAGTATATAAAGTCATCCCTAATTCATTCACATTTAATTCTTTGCCTATCTAAAACCAGGTATATTCTGCCTGGCATTTGCTGTCTCTCACCCAGAGTTTATCTCATGACTTGATTTTCCTATTTTGACAGTAGTGTTTGTGTGAGTGTGTGTGTGTGTGTGTGTGTGTGTGTGTGTGTGTGTGTGTTTGCTTTTATCTTGATCCTACTGACTTTGTGAACTGTTAGCTGAAGAATATGAGAAACCAAATTTAAATTGAAATAATTTGGTTATTTTCACAATGGTCCCTGAGGCTAAGCTCTGACTCCAATCATCTTTTTCTTTCCAAGCCCTGAATTAAGATTCTCAGTTTTAGAAACATGCATTTAGTGGTCTTGAAGAAATTAAAACTGTGGCCAAACTCAGTATTTAATTTAAGACAAGTTCAAGATTTTGTCATAATCACTGAAAAGGAAAACTCAAAAAAGTTAGTGTGTTGACATTCATCACTTGGCTGCTGGAGTTCAAATCAGCATCCAGACAGAGCACAAAGCAAACTAACAGTACGTGTGTTGGCTTATCAGAGCCCTGTGCGTGCACATTTGTGTGTGTGTGTGTGTGTGTGTGTGTGTGTGTGTAGGACTAGCAAAGCAAAGTGCGAACTCCCTACCTTGGAGACAGATGCCCACTACCCACAAGGGCAGTAAAGGATTGGCTCGATCGATGTTTACTTTGCCTGAAGTATATGGTTGATAGAATCTAAGCCGATTGGCTGTGGGAGCATTAAATTAATGATTGTAGGCTAAGTGAAAACAATAGGTACATTAAAATAGTATTTGTCAGCACAAAAAGGGTTAGCCACACCCAAATATCAACTTTAGAAATGAACTACAGATAGAACGTAAGACCAAAAGCTTGCAGAAAACTGGCATTTTGATGAAAAAAGTGGTCATTTGAAAATCAAAATCCTTATACTCCAGTCTTTATCTTGTAAAAACTAATTTAAATTGTTTTGCTCTTTATTATGGTGCTTAGTACAAATTTTGAGCTTTCAATAAGCTATTTTTTTGTGAAAGAGGAACTCCTTAAAGTAAGAATCCAGTCAAGAAATACACTAATTCAGATGGCACCTATCTGTCCAGAAAGAAA